GGAGCCGCACCCCTTCAACGCCAGCCGGCAGCCCAGTACCTACGTGGCTGCCGTGCTCAACCTCACCGGCCCCACGGACTTTGTGCTGGGTGATGGGACCCGCGGACAGGGCTACCACAACGCTGCCCTCCGGCCGGGCTGGGACTACATGGCCCTTCTCCGCCTCATCCGCCACTCGCAGCAGGTACCTGTCATGGGGGTTCTTCTCCCCGGGGACACTGCCAGCCAGGGACGGGACCCCTGGTGGGGTCTGGGCCAGCCACCCGTGGCAAGCGGCAATGCTGCATGGGCTTCGCTCCTGGCCCCTGCGGTCAGAGCCCGGGTGCTGTGGCAGCACAGTGTCCCCGGGGTCCTTGGCCACAGCTGGGCATTTGGTGGCCATGGGTAGGAGGCCTTTGCCCGCAGGACGGGCAGTGGGGCAGGAGTGACCTGAGCTCTCCCTCCCATCTCCTCCAACAGGCAGAGAAGTTCACCTGTATCTGCTACAGCTTCTCTCTTGGTAAGTGATCTCCTTTCTCCCTGTACCTGAGGGTTTCTCCTGTGTGTTCCCTTTTCCCAGCCTGGCCGCTTCCCGTGGACAGGAGCTGGCTGAGCACAGGACCTGTGGGATCTCGTTGTCCTACTTCCATCTTTGTGGAAGTTCTCTGGATCTTGAGACTATCTATGGTGGACGGGCTTTGGGCAACCTTGGGCCACTTGGGCAGGTGTGGCACTGATGGCAGCTGAACACAGTGCATCATCCCTGCAGTGATCACATATTGCATCTCAGTCCTGGTTCTCCACTGGTGCATGTGTAAACCCAGAAATGCAAACACCTCACCAGGCTCTGGCTGCTCCTGGGGCAGTCAGGGAGAGAGGATCCACACTGAAGTGTATCACACCAAGCAAGCGCCTACTCTTTCTGCACTGGCGTAGCTATTCTCCAATGCAAAGCCTGTGGTGGGAGATGCAGGAAGCTGCTTTTCACCCCCTGCCCCTGTGGGATCTCCCAACGCCTGGTTCAGGCTGTGTGGGAGCCTGAGTTTGGGCTGTGCTGGTTGCAGATCAGGAGCCGGGGTCTCTGCTGGGCAGGATGCCTGTGGTTTTGGCAGTAGCGCTGGTCGTTGCACTCCTGGCACTGGGGATTTTGCTGCTCCTCGTGCTCTTCAGGTGAGTATGTGCCTCACTGCTCCTGCTCTCTGTGAGGCAGCCACCACCTTGTACTGCCAGGCAGTGTCCAAGTGGACCCTGAGACAAAGTGAGGCATGGGCAACAGCCTCTCCTCTGTCTCTCTCCTCTGCTGCTCTACGGGCCTGACTTGCTGTTTTGCAGGCGAAAGTACAGCGGTTCAAAATCCTCGGAGAGCAACAGCACCATCCCCCTGCGAAGATGTCTAGGAGGTGCAGTATGAGCAGAGGCCCCGCATGCCCTGTGTGGACAGTCTGCCTATTAAAAGCACAGGCAGGGTGCTTACAGGCTCTGTAAGGGCCTTACAGGAACAAAGGGATCAGAGCCGGCTGGCATGCGGAAAGGGACACCTCCCAGGAGAAAGGGATCTGCTTGTGGAGGACAATCTAGGGTTTGGTGGGGTCCTGACAGCCATAATGCCAGCTCAGTCCCAACTGCAGAGCTCCATCAGGTGTATGCTAAACTCCTGGCCTTGTGGTCTCTGTAGGTACGTGCAAGCTGAACACACAGATCCCGGTGGAGGAACTGCTGGAGGCTCTGAAAACATTTAAGAGAGAAGAAATAGAGGCAGAGCAGAATGATGATGAATCAGTCGACAGACAAGATGCTGGACGTCTGAGAGAGTACCAGGTCTGGCTCAGCTTTACTTTCCCACCTGGCTGTACTGTCCACCCAGCCCTCACCTCTTCCTAGGGTGTGTGATGCAGTTGGCCTTGGCCAGCCCCAGAACACATGCCAATGCAGAATGGGATTGTCTTCTTCCCCTGCAGCAACTGTCCTCCACTTTGTTGCATCCCTGCGATGCTGGGAAGGAGCTGTGTAATCAGAGCAAGAACCGCTACAAGAGCATCATCCCATGTAAGCAGAGCTCTCCAGCGGTTGGCACAGGCACTTAGAGGTGGTTGGGCAGTGCAAGGTGCTGGGCTGGTGTAAGTGCCCCTCCAGGTGTTCAGCAATGCTGAGTTCCTTGTCTCATCCTCTGTGGCCACTGAAACCCAGAGGGATTTTCCAAAATTGTCATGTTGACTGTACTGTTTTATGTCCAGTTGGAGAATCTTTGTTTTGCTCCTCAAATCTCCCCGCAAGCTTAATCATTCATCATTGTATTCCTGTTCCTGCTGTTAGTCATTGCTGAACGCTGCTGTGTCCCATCCAGAGGTGGCTATTTGTGGGAAAGCAGAGGGAGTAACCCAATTTCTATCAGAGCTTATAGCTCCTCTGGACCCCACATGGTATGGAGATTTGGCCATTGCATTTACAACCTTCCCCAAAAAACAAGTTGCATTTCCTGCCGTGCCATGTTACCTTTCGTCTTATTAGCTGTTCTTTTCCTCTGAACATGTCTTGAGGCCTCAAGTGCTGCTGAGGAGGGAGCAGACGGTCCCAGACTTTCCTAAATTACATCCCCATCCTTAAACAGTCACTTCGTTGCTACCCCAAAGAGACTGTCCACTGATTCCCACCTCCCTTCTTTTTCAGACGATCACTGCCGTGTGGTGCTGCAGCCCTCTGACACAGGGAATGGCTACATCAATGCCAGCTACGTGGATGTAGGTAGCGAGGGGTAGAGGTGCCTGGGCAGGGTAGGAGAGGTGCCTGGCTGCACTGGGTGAAGACAGTCCTCCTCACATGGGTGTCCCCAAGGTCTGGCGCTTGCTGCCCTCAAATGCTAGCAGGTCTTGGGCTATCACTTTCCTTGCATTGTCTCTGAGCTGCCCGGAGTACTGCGGGCTTGTGTGCAGGTCTCATCTCCAACAAAATGGGACCTGTGTGAGAGGACAGGAGCCAAGATGCAGCCCCTGGGTACCTGCTCTCTGTGCTGACCAGGAGCGGTGCTGCAGGACACACTGTGCGGGGGCTCTGGGTTCTGGTGACTGCAGGGATGGGTCCTTTATTTCATTCCCTGTTAAATGTTTAACCCATGTGATCGGAGCTGTTTGAACCTCTCCCCCACAGAGCTACCGGAGTCCACGCTTCTTCATTGCAGCTCAAGGTGAGTGCCCTCATGCTCAGGAGATCCCATTTGCTGCCCCTGAGCACTTCGGGGAGTGGAGGACTGGGATAGCAGGCTAGGAGCTGTTAATGGCTCAATCCAAGGCCCTGTATCTCCTGGGCCTCTGTCTTGGATGGTGGTTATGGCTGCAGCAGGGCATGGAAGGCCTCGGTGTCAGTTTGGCAGCGGCCAGATGGAGCTGGTCCCTGCAGTACCCAGGCTGTGGACATGGTCCTTGCACCCACAAGCCTGGTTTGTTCCCTTTGGCGGCTGACGTGACAAGGACCAACCTGCAAATGCCTGATACAACTGCACTTGGTGCACTCGGAGACAGACTCCTTCCAATGGTGGAAAGCCAGGATGGGTTAGTCTGCTTTGTGCAGCACGTGAGGACGTCACAGCTTCCTTGCAAAGCTGCAGAAATGTTCTTCAGGAAATAGGATCCTAAATGTGGGAGCAACTCACGGTCATCTTGAAGGTCTGGATGGGGAAGCCCCTGAAGCATCAGTGAATTCCTGGCATATCCTGGGTTTACCTGCCCTCCCTCTTCCTTGTCCCAATTTCTAACATGGTTGATGAAGCTAAGGTGCCCATCACCCCCTGCTAAGTGCTGCTGTGCCCAGGCTGTGCTGCCTTAGTCCCCAGGCAGAGGGAAGCCCGGGGCTGCTTACAGCCTGGGAATGTCTGAGCTGTGCCTGGGAGCAGCACGTGGCTTGGACACTGTCACAGGGCTCTCCTCTTCCTCCCCAAGGCCCCTTGCCTGGGACGGTAGTGGATTTCTGGCAGATGGTCTGGCAAGAGAAGACCTCGGTCATTGTGATGCTGACGGGCTTAGTGGAGCAGAACAAGGTAGAGAAACCATCTCAGCCTGTGCTCAGCTTTGCCTGCTTTGCTTTGCTTTGCTTTGCTTTGCTCTCAATGCAGCTGTTGATGAGGGCAGAGAGCAGCTCCACACCAGCGCTGGCTTGCAATGCTCCACTCATGAGTTTGTTGGTGCTTAGTGGTCTCGCTGCTGTTGACAGACCAAGTGCGAGCAGTATTGGCCAGAGCAAGAGCAGGTCTATGGCGACTTCACTGTGACACTCAACAACACCAGGACCACCACGGGCCTCGTCACACGCATCTTCTCCCTGCGTAAGGTAAGTCTGGAGTGTAGCTGAGATCGGGATGCAGGATGCTTTTGTGTTTCAGCAGCTGGTGGGAGCTGTTGGCCAAGAGACTCTGTGGGTAGCCCTGCCTGGTCTCCAGCACTGGCAGGTCAGTACTGCTATCACTGCATGCCATCAACCCCAAGTTTCTGTGCCAGGCAAAGGCAATTGATCAGCTCCAGTGGTCACCCCAGCTGAGTCCGGACTGATGATGCACATGGGCAGCTTTTGCATGCTTGAGGGCTTGGATGAGGTGATCAAGAAGGGTATAAAAGCAGTTAAAGGGTATAAAACGGCACCTCTGTACATCCAGGATGATGGGACAGGTACCTGCCCGTCACGTGGGCCAATCTGCAGAGGGTCCATATTGAAGCTCTGTGGTCACTTACAGCTCCTAAACCTGAACAGATAGTTTAAGATTTAAGATAACTTACATAATGACATTTCTCAAGACGGGTACTTCTGCTGAAGTTATACCTCAGATAATAAGCAAAAACTGAAGGAACTGCAAGGAACGGAAAACAGGTAGAATATACAGAAACTGCAGTTATGCATACTCTTGTCTTTTCTTGATTTGCCGCAAGCAAAGCCTAACTGAAAGGTAAATCTCCAAGAGCACCTGATGGTGGGACATAGCAGTTCATTAGTTCAGGCCAAGTGAATGTGATGTTTAGGGGAAAATACATGATGGGCTGGCAACAAAAGTGATTACATTCGCATCAGTGCAGTACCAGCCTTAGGAAATACCTTATTTGGGGAAACCACGGCTTTTCGATGGCTATGGAAACACTCTACACTGTGTTGTTTTTTTTGTTTTTTTTTTTCCTCTGGGGCACAAGCTGCATTTACCTTTCTGAGTATACTATTCACAGCAGAGAACAAAGTGAACTGTGCAGCCATGTGCTGGGTGAATTTGCCCTTTGCTCTCTGATGAGCTATCGTGGAGCAGTTATTGTGGTGGGGGTGCTGGGGGGAACACTGTGTGCTGGTGCCCCCCTGAAGTGGTTTTCTCCACTGCTCCACACTTGTTGGCATGGAATTACTTCGCACAACTTTCCAGGTTGTTTCGTGCTCCCTGCTCCCAGCCATGTCTCCCTCTTTGTAGGCAGGCTGTGCTCTCCCAAGAGCTGTGGAGCAGTTTCACTACTTGCTGTGGCCAGACCACGGGGTCCCCAGAAACCCTGCCCATCTCCTGTGCTTAGTGGAGGTGGTGAACAAGAGGGCATCGGAAGCGTCTGCCGGACCTGTGCTGGTGCACTGCAGGTACTGGGCTGGGAGCACTTGGGTGCTGGGGCCAGGCTGGCTGGGGCAGCACTGACCTCCAGTTTTCTGTGTCCTCAGCGCAGGGATTGGGCGGACAGGTACCTTCATTGCCCTGGATTTCCTCCTGAAGATGGGGAAGGCTGAGGGGAAGGTGGATGTGTTTCACTGCGTGCAGAGGCTGCGGGAACAGCGGGTCAGCATGGTGCAGACGAAGGTGAGGAGAGTTACCTGCTCCCTGCACACTGTCGGGCTGCAGGTCTGCTTCCCACCCTTCCCAGGGATGTGGCATGCAAAGCCACAGTGGCCATGCCGTTCATGGTCTAGACACAGAGGCTGGAGCTGCCAGGTGGTGGAGACTGCAGGATCTTGTTTTCAATGCTGTGTCCAAATCTAGTACGGATCCATATTCCCTTGACACCCTCTGAGGTGCCAGCAGCATTCATACACACCAGTCATCCTGGTGTAGAAAGGTTGTCTTATAGGCAAGGAGCATGAACAAGAGTCTCATATGAGGAAAGGCTGAGGGACTTGGGTCTCTTTAGTCTAGAGAAAAGAAGATTGAGGGGGGATCTTATTAATACTTACAAATACTTAAAGGGAGGATGCCAGGGGGATGGGAACAGTCTTTCTTCAGTGGTGCCCAGTGATAGGACGAGGGGTAACGGGCACAAGCTTGAACACAGGAAGTTCCATCTTAACATGAGAAGGAACTTCTTTACTTTGAGGGTAATGGAGCACTGGCACAGGCTGCCCAGAGAGGTTGTGGAGTCTCCCACTCTGGAGACATTCAAAACCCACCTGGACGCTGTCCTGTGCAACCTGTTGTAGGTGACCCTGCTCTGGTGGGGGGGTTGGACTAAATGATGTCCAGAGGTCCCTTCCAACCCTGACGATTCTGTGATTCTGTGAGTCCACATGTCCTTCAGGCTTTCAGGATGTCTGCCCTTATGGTATCTTCTGGGCAGCAGTGTCCTTGCCAAGGGACTACAAGGGACAAGATGGTTGTTGCAGTTGATGGCTGTTTCTCAGAGCAGGGCTGCCTGCACTGAGAGGTGGCTGGCCTCAGGTCCCCACAGCAGGATGGACCTGGCTCATTCCTGACACAGGCTGATGCCAATGAGCTGGTGGTCTGGAGTCTCAAGGCTCCAGACTGTGCAGCTAACCTATGTCCTCATGCAGGAGCAGTACATCTTCTTGTATGAGGTTCTGCTTGAAGGCTTGCTCTGCAGCAGCACTGGGATCCCAGTGGAGAGCATCGCCAGCCATGTCCGCTGCCTTCGAGAAGCTGAGACCTCAAGGCACAACAATGTCCTTGAGAAGGAGTTCAAGGTACCACCAGGATCTGGTGCACTGGGTCAGGTGCTGTGGGGGCTGGTCTGTGGTGCCTCCCCCCTACTGCTCCCACGTCCCCAGCAGTGGGATGGAGATGGGGGAGTATTTCATGTCTCTCTGGGGTGGCTGAAGAAGGAGAGGAGCTGACAGGCAGGACTTACTTGGCTGAATCATCCCTGCAGACCCTGCAGAAGTTTTCCGAGTTGTTCCAGCTTCTGCCATGCAGAGAAGCGGAGAAACCAAGCAACCAGCCCAAGAACCGCAAGCCAGGGATCCTGCCAGGTACTGCTGGCAGGGCTGGGCAGCAACTTGCGCTGCGACCCAGCACCTGAGAGCAGTTGAGGGGGACAATGACGCCCTGCTGGTTCCCTCCCCAGCTCCATGCCACTGGCAGGGTCTGCCCAGGGGCCAAACGTCATTTTCTGGTTGGCAATAAGGCTGGTCTTCCCATGGAAGCAAGACCACATCCCTGCTTCCTTTAGGGCTTGCTGGAGGCATGCATTCATGGGGTACACCTGAGATAAACATGTATTGGGTCTAATCTTTCCCAGTGGAGGAGCCTGGATGAGGCATCAAGGAGCAATGAGGAGGGTGGACCCCCTGTGCCTCCACTCATGAGGTTTTGGACGTCCTATGTCAGGCAGCCCTGAGCTGTTGTGGCCACGATGCTGGTGGTGCCTGGCCATCCTAGCCCCTCCAGACCATGCCGCTTGGAGCCCTGCTGGCCCCACGGCTTTCAGGGTAAGCTCTGTGCAGGGAGAGGATGGCTCATCATTTTTCTCCCTGCCCCTTGCCTCTGTAGCCGATTCCTGGCGGCCCATCCTGATGTCCTCGCTGAACGCAGACGGCTCGCCAGGCTACATCAACGCTGTGTTTGCCAACGTAAGGCTCCAGCCCCAGCGTGGGGTGGGAACTGCTGCCAGCAGCAGAGACTCCCCCGGCCACCACCGCACAAGGCAGGGGTAGACCATGCCATGAGTTGTCCCAGCCCTAGGGCTTCTTCATAGTGACTCCTTCCCAGCAGCTGGGGCCCTGCTGCCAGGAGATGGCCCCCGTGATCAGCCTAAGCCCAGCCTGCACATCAGGCTGCCGCACAGCCACTGGCTTTTGCCTGCTGGGAGCAGAGACTGGGTGCGATGAGCGGAGGGAGCTGTGGGGTGCAAGCCTGCCCTGAGAAGGGCTGGGGTGTCCTGTGTCCCCTCGGGCTCTGCCCCAGGCCTGCAGGGAAGCAGGGAGCCATTCCCGCTATTGGAGGGGCTCTCAGGGGGGTGGATTGTGTGACCTCTTTCCCCAACACCACGGTCGGTGTGTTTTGCAGACATACACTGAGGAGGACAGACTCATCATCACCCAGCTGCCTTTCCTCACCACACTAGTGGATTTCTGGGCTCTGGTCTGGGATTACACCTGCACATCAGTGGTTGTGCTGAACCAGCTCCAGGAGCTGGACAAGGTCAGCAGCCCACGCGCAGCACTCCTCTCTCCAGCTCTCTGCGCAGCTTTTTCTGCCTTTGCCCCCACACAACTCTTCTCACAAGAGCCCTGCTTGACACAGGAGCCCACTGGAAGCTTGTGGGCTCCAGCTGGGAGAGCCCTGGGGACAGTCCCACCACCGTGACACTACAGCGGTGGGGTGTCCCCAGTCTCACAGCAAGGGAGCATCCCTCAGGTTTTGCTTACCCATGCCCAGCTGTCCTGTCTGCAGGAGTGTTATTTTTCTAGCTGCAGCACGCCGGCTTGGTCCCTGCCCTGCAAATGTCAGGCAGAGCACCCACACGCATACTGTGGCTTATGGACTGGTGTCAGCACACCCATGAGAGGTGCTGAGCTCCACTACACATGCAGGTAAGGCCTGTGTGTCATCATGTGTGTGTCATCCCCCCAGACATACGTGGAGTTCTGGCCCACCCAGGGCGAAGCTGCCTACGGCCGTTTCCATGTCCACCTGATCTCAGAGGAGCCTGGAGCTGACTTCACAGCCTGGACGCTTGCCCTCACCAACAAGCAGCAGGTGGGCTCTTTGCTCAGAGAGGGAAAAGTCCTTTGAGATGAGCCTGTGCAACAGCTGGGAGGACCAGCCAGGCTCCAGCATCAGCAACTTTTTGATTTGGGATCAAATACAGCTAGGGGTGGCAGAAGCCACAATGGTCAGAGGGATCTGATGGGGTCCTGGAAGGGCACTGGCCAGAGCACAGCCTTTTACCTTGGGAGAGAGGTTAGTCCCAGGAGGGTGAGGCTGCAGGCAGAGGTTCAAGGCAGAGGTACATTTGTGTACCTTTCTAACTCGGAGGACAGCAGCCACGGATAGAGTTTGTGTATCTTGGTGGTGGTCCATGAATGGGGACAGTTATCACAGATAGCCGGGTGCCTGAGCTGCACCTGGTGCTCAGCTCTTATCTTGTGCTCTGTCTGTCTGCCGGTCTCAGAGCACTTAATGGAGAAGGGCAAAGTCTGGGGCTGGGCCATCCCACTGTGGAGCTGTTCCCTTGATCCAGTGTGCATGGCTGAGCCTGGACTGACACACACTATCCCTCCCTTTCTTTCATGAAGCCAGTGGGTTTCTTCTCTGCCCAACCCACTGTTTTTCTTCTCCACTAGCCCAAGAAGTCTGCACTGGAAGTCCGTCTCTGGCAACTGAAGGACTGGCCCATGCAGGAGCGTCTGCCCCCGCAACTTGCCACTATCATCAGTCTGCTAGGGAAAGTGGAGACACACCATCGGCAGAGCCAAGACGGACATATCCTTGTCACCTGCTGGTGAGTGATGTCTCTCGGAGTAGCAGCCATGGCACAGAGCTGGCTTAGCTCAGGCTGTGTCAGTGATCTTGGGTCACAGCTCCATCTTGAGTGGACATACAGACATGAGTTCAGCTATGTTCTGGGAGAAAGGCTTCCCTGTGGAGGCTGGCTGGGGGCAAAACCTGTGGACAAGACCATACTGGGAGCCTCCATGGTTAGTGGAACACCTCTGAGGCTCAGCACTGCCAGGTGATCCCAGGGCAAGTGACTCTCCCCTTGCTCTCCTCTGCAGGGATGGTGCCAGCCGTAGCGGAATCTTCTGTGCTGCTAGTTTCCTGTGTGAGCAGATCCAAAGCGAGGGGCTGGTGGATGTATCCCAGGCTGTGAGGACGTTGAAGAGGCGGCGGAGACAGTTGATTAAAGATGTGGTAGGTGCTGACTTCCAACTCAGCCGGGATGGCAATACCAGAGCAAAAGCTATAGCCTGGACTGTGCCAGCAGCTGCCCTAGCATCTCTGTGCTCAGATCATCCTGGGGCCAGCAGGGGCAGATGAGACCTCTGGAAAACCTGTTTTCTGCCACTAGAACATACCCACTCACGCAGGGGCAGGTTCTACAGAAGCATCATGCTGGCTGAGTTGCCCCTTTCTGGTCCACCTGGCCTGCTCAGTGGGGGACTGCACTGGTGGGTGCTTATGTGCCTGTTCTGCACGCGCGTCACCACTCAGTCTGGGTGCTAGAGGCCATCGTAGGGTGAGCACCCCAGATGGGAGTGAGCCCCTTCCTGCCATGGGTTCTGGCTCTCATCCTGAGACCAGATGGCTCCAGCATTGGTCTCCAGCTCTTACCTACTGGAGGACATTCCTGTGATTCCTCAGCAGGCGAAGGTGGGCTCTGGCTGGGAGGAGGAGAGTGGGCTGTACCTTCACCTGTCTTGCTGTGGAAGCTGTTGGCAACCAAGGCTGGCCTTCCACTGTAGGTGTTGGTGTACCAGGTTCTCACATGCATCCTTCTATCCACAGGAGCAGTACAGGCTCTGCTATGAACTAGCCCTCAGTTACCTGAATTCATTTGAAACCTATGGGAATTTCAAGTAGAGGTATGGCCACTGCCCATCTCTGGCCAGAACTTTGACTCTCTTGAGAGCCCTCCATTAGTAATAGTGGAAACCAGAGGAGACGAGAGGGGTGTGCACAGACCCAAGATGCTTAACTCCCCTGAAAAGCCACCCCAAGGATCCTCTGTGGCTGGAGAGCACAGACTGGACTCTCTCCAATTTGTGGTCAAGCTTTGAAGCGGGAACCTGACCCTTTGCCCAGAGTTTGCACAGGAACTTACCTGGAATTACAGCCTGAGTATGCAGATCAGAGCAGAAGCACCACGACTTGACCTGTCTGTGACAGGGATGAAAAGAACCAGCTGTCCCATCCAGGCTCCCTTGACCCTTCAGGCAGCTTCATGGAAACTGAAGTAGCTCCACCAACACCCAAAGTGTGTTTTGCCAGGGCACCATCAAACCATTGTAAGATCCACTGGGCTCAGGAGCACAGGCTACCTGTGTTACTTTGGGAGATGCATGAAGCCCAAGGCCAACAAGAGCCAAGGGGCAATCCACAGTCCTGTAGTGCTAGCCTGGTCCTCCCCACCCCACACAATCCCTTCTTGGAGTTCCATCCACCTGATGCTGATACAGGTGCCACAGCCCTGACAGCTCCAGAGAGGCTCCCTCCCCAGCCTGTCTGACTCCACCATGGCAATCCCTGGTTTTAGCAGCTCAGCTCAGATACGCTGGGTGTTGTTCCAGCAGGCTACTGCCCAGGAGGGGCTACTGCACCACAGAGACTGGTTCTGCCTTTGCTGATCAAGGGCAAGGGGCCTCAGAGCCAGGACTGACCCCATGGCTCTATTCTGTGTATCACCAATAAAGACTCTGTGTTGGCCATGGTGGTGGTGACCTCTTCACTTTTCTTTCAGGTTTGACATGGCGCAGGGGCTGAGAAGTAGCTGAGAGCAGACAGGTCCCTCAGCTCTGGCCACAGCATGGGCATAGAACACACTCCTCACAGAATCCCAGAATGGTCAGGGTTGGAAGGGACCTCTGGAGGTCATCTACTCCAAACCCTCTGCCAGAGCAGGTTCATCTACAGCAGGTTTCACAGGATGGCATCCAGGTGGGTTTGGAATGTCTCCAGAGTGGGAGACTCCACCACCTCTCTGGGCAGCCTGTGCCAGTGCTCTG